GAACTTCTTGGTATGTAAGATACTTACAGGCCACAAAAAGAACAGTATTGTTGCTATTCCAAGAATAGATTTGTCACCAAGCGAAACAACACTACCATTCCGCCTTAAAAGAAGGCTGTTTCCTATAATACCAGCATTTGCAATGACGATACATAAAGCACAAGGACAATCATACGGTCGTGTTGGTATTTACCTTCCAGAACCATTGTTCACACATGGTCAATTATATGTTGCTTTAAGTAGAGTTAGGAATAAAGATCAATTAAGGATTGAAATGTCTGCCAATTCGAATAACTGTGTTGACAATATAGTTTATAAAGAGCTATTATAATAAAGGCTTGGTATGTAATATCTTTAATGTACTACATATAATATGCAGTATATATAAATAAAAAATTTTACAAACTAAAGAATTCTTTGATAACTAGGATTTCTAAATACAAGAAAATTACATACACAGAAGTATTCTTTATAACAACTTTCAATTCTAAAATGTACAGGAATAATACATTTTATTAAGTATGGAAAAATCATATTTAATAAATGAGTAAGCTATACATATAATTCTTATGTAGCAGTAAAAAAATAATAAAATAAATATTTTCATAAAGAAAAAAAAGTTACTAGGACCTGAAAAACAATTAAACAACATTTAGCCAGGTAACACAATTATAATCTTTAGGTCCCGTTTTAAACGGGCAGCGCAGGCTAGTACATATAGTAATTTTTTTGATTTTTTTAACCCTTAGTATGGCCATTCGAACTTCAAGAATTGAACAGTTATCATCTATCGGGCATATGGAAGTTGGCTTAGTAATAGCAATTTTAAAAGCTTAAAATCTTATTGCTATACAGGAATATTGTCTACATTGTGGATTTTTTATGACAGAGAGAACGAAAGAAGATGTTATTGATAAGGTGGCTTGGATGTGTAGCAATGATTCATGCTTTAAATATAAAACTACGAAAAGCAAAAGAGTAGGTTCTTTCTTTGATATGTTTCGTTTAAGTCTTGCTAATATCTGGACTGTTATTGTATTATGAACTGAGGGGAAGGTGTATGTAAAATAGAGCACTCCTATGGTATAAACAGAAGACTGTGAGAAAATTTGCGGATTTGCTTCAAAAAACTGTGCATAATTATTTAGAACAAAAACCGCCAAGGCTTGGAGGCCCGGGCATAGTTTGCCAGATTGACGAATCTCTTTTTTGTCGCGGGCAAAAGTTTTTCAGAGGGCATGTATTGGAAAATTGAATTTGGGTTTCTGGAATTGTTGACGCATGCTTTAAGCCCGCGAAAGACCACATGCAGATAGTTTAAAAGACCGGCTGATACACTATTGACAACTATATCTAAAAAATGTAAGTCTGGTTCAACAATTTACAGTGATGAGTGGGCAGCCCACAGAGACATTTCTCAAAGAATGGAATTTACGGATTCTACAGTCAATCACTTTATTAATTTTGTAAATCCTGATAACAATGTTTACACTCAACATATTGAGTCATATTGGGCAAAACAGAAGCAAAAAATAAAAAACATGAAAGGAATTAAACGTGAGAAACCTTTTCTTTTATTATCTGAGTTGATCTAAAAAGACAATAACCACCAATGTTTTTTGGCTCGCCCGGTAGACTTATTACGCCTTAATTAAATATTTTTATTTTATCAATCTTTTATCTAAAAACATAATCAAATCTTTTATTGAGAAGAGGGGAGGGGTATAAAATTCGTGATTAGAAAGGTCTATTAACAAAGTAAACAAAGATGTGTAAGTTTCAAAATTCTTACTTTTAATATCGCAAACATTGCAGAAAATACATGTGATCACAAACATAGAACGCGGTATATAAATGTAAGCAGGATGTTGGTACTGCCAAAAATGCCCTATTTATTACATATAAATAGTTTTACTACAAATCATTAGCAGCTTAGATAGAATAAAAAATTAAAATATGTTGTTTCTAAAAAATTTTTATAATTTTCTAGCCCACACTGAAAAAAACGACAGATTGATGTGTGTAAAGTATATGAACTAAGTTTTGGGGGTGATTTGGATATGGTAAAATTTATGCAATTCTGTCTATGGTGTCTTAACAATATAAATATATACACATCCCCCACAAGGGCTTTAAGTACCACGATACCACATCCATTATAACGGAATAAATAACGTTTTTAGAACCATCACTAGAACTTATTGTTTTTTCTTTCATTATATTAATAAACTACGCTTAATTTCAGTATCGCAGTTGCTTTGTGATTTTGAATGTCTCTTGGGACAAATAAAGCAACGTTGGAAGCAAAATCGGTGCCTGGTGGTGCGTGCGCTTTACAATTCTGTCGTAACCTCTAATGAGGTAGTTGAAACAAAGTATAGTTCTTATATAGAATAAATGTGTGTCTCATTATAATTAATTTTATTGGTGAAACGAGATTCCTTCTTTGTAGTACTTTTTTTTATTGTTTTCTTAAATTCATTACCGTTCCATAAAGAAATTTTTTTTACAAAAAAATGAGATCCAAGAAAATTCGTTTGTGTTATTCTTTAAAAAATTTTTAAAAGTGAAGTTATATGAGAAATACCAAAAATTCCTATCAATGTAAATTAAACGTATAGAACTTTTGTTTCTAGATTTTAATCTAAATGTATTGTTAAAATTGTCTACAAAAAGATTCTTTCCAAATTTGTTTTTTTTCACATTTCATTTTGGGGTTAAAAATTTTATAAATTTTTAAATCTTTTCCTTAGGCCATTATATTAAAAAAAACACCAATTTACTGAGTACCTTTTTTTAACCGGGGAATTGGGAGGACACGACTAATTTTTTTAAACTCGTTATTGGTGGAAAATTTCGTTCTTTTGCCATAAAGAGTTAATTCTTTAGTATTTATCTTTTTGATACTTTTTTAAAATTTTGCCATGTAATATTGGGTGTATAAACAAAAAAAATTACAAATTTTGACGTAAAACACAAAAACATTCTTTTCCACAATTTCTATCAACTGATCCTAAAAGGTTATAAACAGGGTAAATCATATGTTTTGCTTAAAAATTTTAATAATTTTGAACAACGCCCACTTTACACTATAATTTTGTAGATCAAAGTACATATGCTCATATTCTGAATGTTAAGTCGTATCTGAAAAAAATAAAGTTTGTGAATGCCACAAACATGACAAATAATTGTTTTCCAAAACAAAACTGATGATCTGAAACAGTGTTTTGGAGTGAAGCAATGTCTAATATATTACTATTTAAAGAAAATTAATTCTAAAATGATGCATGATGAAAATTAGAATAGCATTAGAAAGCTATCTAACCTTAGACATCCTTATGTAATTAATAGTTTTATTGAAAAGTATTACAAGTTTGGTAGCTATCTTTCGGGGCAAGACGGTTTGAAATTAGAAAACGAAAGGATTGGCTAAAAAGCAACTTATTTATATTTCCTCCAGATGTTCTTCGGGTACTATTTTCTCTCAATCTTCTGGTCTAATTGATTCGTTTGTTATCTCCTTGCGTACACATGGTATTAAAGGGAAACCTTTTTTTATAGTTTTACTTCTTGACACAACAAACAAAAATAAAGGAACAAATACGTGGTAATATAATATTACCACACTTGTTCGCAGGAAAAGAAATTTTTAAACGAAATTTAATTCTTATTTATATATTTAAGCAATTTTTACAGAATTTAAAAAATCTGAAAAATATAAGGCATCACATCCAAAGAAATAAACCCCGCTTTTTAAATAAATGGCCCTACAATGCAGTAGAACCGGGATTTGGCTTTTAGCTGCATTGTTGGGCCATTTTTTATAAATTTTGGGCTCGCTTGTTTGTTTTGACACCTTTCATGGGAATTGAACAATGTAACAACGTCAGAATAATTTGATTACCAATTGACACACTGTTACCAGCTGTCTCCCTATAAGGTTTATAAGAGTCGATACACATAAAAGTTTTTACAATTTTTAAAATATTTTAGATAGCTGGCGTGCTACAAAGGAGTATAACTGGTCCCAAAGTAATACTTTTATGGGCTTAGGACTTTATCATTGCTGTCTGCTTCTTGTAGGCTTTCAAGGAGCTTGTCTTTTCGCTAAAAATTAAATTTGTGTTACTCTGTTTAAAAGGCGTGAGTTAAAATTTAAAATTGTTTTCATGGTAAATTTTTTTATAAAATTAACTTAAGCATTTGGTTGTTATACCACATTTTGCCCTCTTACGGTTTTAAATTACTATCATGTCTAAAATGATTTTCTCCTTAGGGTTTCACTCATCGCTCTTCATTTTCGATGAACATTATTCTTTTTCGTCTTTATACTTCTTGTCTAATTCTTACTACTATGATCTTTATAATAGACCATATTATTTTTTAAAAATCTTCAAATTGCCATTTCATTAAATTATTTTTTATTTCAACTTTTCTTTAAAAAGGGTTATATACCAAGTATTTGTTAAAAGTCAAAAGTGTTGCTTCGCCCAATATTTGGTTGTAATAAATGTTAATACAGCAGTGGCCACAAAAAACGCAATTTAAATTTGAATAAATAGAACCTTTTAGATGGCATGAAATTTATATTACTGTCAAAGCCTTTGCTATGACAAAAAATTGCCGAGAAAATGTCGATTTTATGTATTTTTCGATATATTTAAAAGTTTTATCCCCCAAAATGATAAAATTAAAAGAAAAAAAGAATGTAAAATTTTGGCAGAATTTACAGAAAGCATATACAAATACGGAAACTGTATAAAATGTGTTTACTTTACAAAACTATTTAAGCAAAAAAATAAACTGGTTTGTACTTTCTTTGCTTATAAAAAAATTTTAATGCTTGAAGGATCAAATTTTGAAAATAATCATATAAGTGTAGAAACGAGCAAAATTCTTGATCTATGGCTCAATTATATGCCGGCGTAGCTAATAGAAAGAATATTAAATCCTTCTAAATAAACTTATAACGAATATTTAAAAACTAGAAACTTCGATGCTTTCAATAAATGTCGCGGGCCCGGCTGGTGACTTTTTTTTCTATCTTTGTTGCGGCTGCTATTATGATTTAGGTGCGGTTTGTGCTCGACCCTTAAATACTTACATTTTTGCTACAAACTTCATTTTAAATTTCATGTTATTTATTTTATTATTATAAGTGAAGAGTATACGATCACATTTATAGCATACTTATTACTATCTTTTATGATCACACCTGTGTTTTTAGTGCATACCACATACTAAGAGATGAAACAAATACAGTAGTGGCAAAAAAAGGAATATTTAATTTTGCAATTAAAAATATTATATCATAAAGGGTTAATGCCATTTTAAAAGAAGCTACGTATCAGTGGCATATTTATGCACAAGGTGGATGAATATGCCACTGATTGGTTATTGGGCATAAAAATGTGACAAAAAACACAAAAACGAAAATTAATTAACATGCACCATTTTTGTGTTTGATAGAAATTTAAACTAAAAAACCTCTACTTGTAACGTCATAATAGATTTGAAATTTTTTAATTATTGCTGGTTTTCCCTCCAAATTTGCCTTTTCACTTTAAAAACCTTTTATTTAATATTTTTTCTGACCCCTATCATGTCTCTAGATAATCTTAAAGATGCACCTGTAAAACTTAGCAACAATGATTTGATTAATACATTAATGGATGCCAAGTTATTAAAAAAGGAGTTGAACTGTATATTATGCCATTAAATAATGATTTTTATTAATTGTAAACAATACAAGGATTTAAAATGTTTTAGATGTCCAAACAATATGTACGCCAAGGGCAGTCCGCGTATAAATATTAGAAAATGTAGCTTTTTTGGGCCGATTAATCTTCCTCTTCTGACAATTTTAAAAGTTTTAATAAGATGGTCTGAAAACATTCCATGAAGAATTGTTGTATCAATGCTAAATATTGATCATAAAAGTTATAAAAATATAATACTCAAGTTTTTAAGTCTTGTTAAATTTGATTTTACGGATGATAAATTGGGTGGATCTGGCAAAATTATCCAGATAGATGAAACGGCACTTAATCACAGTATTAAAGCACAAGGAGGGAAAATTCCTACGAATAAAACCGATGCTTTATGCATCGTTGAATTTGAGGAAAACATCAACAGAACTTATGCTTGTGTTAAAGAGAATAAAAAAGCTTCAACTATTTTACCAACAATCTGTGCTAATGTTGCATCTAATAGTATAATACATATCGATGAGCATAAAAGCTATTCTGCGCTTAACAACATGGGTTCCGTTCATGACACGGTCTGTCATAAGTGTACTTTTATAAACCCAGAAACGGGTGCCAATACGCAGGCTGTGGAGTCCTTTAACAATTCGCCGAAGTTAGACAAAAAAAAAGAAAAGGAATAAAAAAATGGCTTAGACAAAAATTTTTGAATGAATTAAGCTGGAAATTTAATAATACAGTAGACGGGTTTGAAATGATAATATAAATTATTGAATTAAAATTTTAATATTTTTTTTAAAAAATTGGGTTTTACTCCATTTAAAAAACATTTTTATGCCCACCGGGCATAAAAATGCCACTGATCCATATCATCTCTAACGCTTGTTAACATTAAGAGTTGAAAATAAAAAAAAGAAAAGAAATAACAGGGTCATTACACTACCTTGCAGATAATTTAATGAGCTTGATCCAATCTTTTCTTATTTTTTTATAATACAGAATTGTTTTTATTTTAAAACTAGCTAACGCTATTCCGTTTGAAACGGAATTATAAATAAATAATATTCTTATTTTTCATTGTTTAACATGTCTTTGGGCTTGTGCGCATTGTTTACAGTACAAAATGTCTTCATTGTAAAGTAAAATTTGCAATAGTCACCATTTTACAATTACAAAAAAATCGTCAAATTCTATGAAAAATACACAAAACTTGTAATATCCTTGTAGTAACAATTATATAACTAACTCTCAGTTGGATTTTGGTGCTTTTATATGAAAAATTAAAACAGAATTTCACAATTTTAAAAAAAAGAAGGGTTAAAAAATAAACAAATGTTCGGATTCAAACTTTTTATATATATTGATGATAGCCTGAGCTGTCCCGTTTAAAACGGGACTACGAATACGATACATGCTTTTTTATAAATTATGTGTATATGTCTTTGTTTATGTATGTATCGTTTTAAATTTGATAATTATATTTTTTAAATAAATAAATTCAGTAATGGCGCACATTTTACAATTTGAACAATTGAATGAAACTTAAAAAAATCCATTTAAAAT